CTCTGCAGGGCAGCAATTTTGGATTTTTTGCTTTTCCCTTTTCTTTCAATGTGTTCTTCTTTTAAACTGTGAGGTTTCAGTGAGGAGCTATTTACCAAACCGCTTTTTTTTTTAGCTAATATTTCTTTATTTTTCATCCTCTCCTGTTTCGAGTCTTCTGGAGTTTTACTTTCAGCAATGATTTCATCTGTATCTGCTGAATCATAACCATTATCACATTCCATAGCCTCTTTCTCTTTGTTACTTCCTTTGATAACTTTCTTCATGGCATCTGAATTGCTTAAGGACCAGTGGCTACTGTATTTTAATTCAAAATTATCCCCAACAATTTCCAGGTGCTCACTTTCAGTCTCAACATTTTCAGCTTTCTGTCTTTCTGCCTCTTTCTTGACCATTGCTCTGATCTCCTCTTCAGAATCAACATCACTATCAGAAACACTGCTATTATTTTTGGCTGTAACTCCATTAGCATTTTTAGAAATTTTCCCATCCAATCTCCTTGCTGGAGGCAATTCCAACTCCTCAGCAGGTTTGGGTTTTGATCTTTGGCCGAGCTGGGGTGAGTCTGTGTGTTTGGGACGTGAAGGGCGCCCAGAGGGCAGAGCTGCTCCATCCAGGGGCTGCCTCCGTTTCCGCGGAGCTTTCCCGGTGCCGGGGGATTCCCCTCTCCTCTTCCTGCTGCCATCCCCCCCTGGCAGGCTCCAGGTGAGCTGGGCCACAGGGGCTGCAGGTGCCAGCTCTGCCTCCAGCTTCCTCAGGTTGTGGCAGTACTTGGAGGGGTCGTACTTCACCACGTTAGAACGAGTTAAGGATTTGGAAGGCCCCAGTTCTTTCAGCAGACTCAGGGCTTTATGAAGAGGCTGAATTCTGCAGGGAAGGACAGCAAAGAATCTTTTCTCATGCTATGACCACAAGCCTTTAAGCAACTGAGTGCAGTGTAAAATAACTGCTCAAGTCACACAAACTTACTGCAGGGTTTACTTGGGGGATTCAGTAAATTAAGCCTGACAGAGGAGTAAAATTTAGGACTGTCAAGCAACTGTTTTCCCATATGACAAAAGAAAGAAGGGAATTGTGTTCAAGGGCAAACAATCAGAAAAGGATATTTTATTTTTTTGTTGATTCCTGAGGTGCAGGATAGGCAAGACTCTGCCAAATTTTCCAACAACCCATTTCTGAAAGAAAAGAAAAATATTCAGGTGTTAAAAAAAAGAGAGTAGAAGTAACTCTGGAATAAAACAAATGTTTATTCTTTAATAACAAGAACACTAATAAAGAACCACATGTGATTAATTCTTTTTTCTTTATTCTCTCTACTGAACCCTACCACACAACTTGGCCAGCCTCCTTCTCAAAAACAAAACAAACCAAAGCCAACCAAATAAAAATTTCTAAAACCTACAAATAAAGAGTGATAATAAAGAAAGAAATTTCTTTACAAGTGCTGTTTTTAGCACGGGGTTTCTGGTTTATGAATCAACACTGGTGCCTACAAAGACAGGATCACTATTATTTTGCTCTTTTCCCCCTTTTCACAAAAAATATTTTAAAAACCACTCTATGCTTAGCACAAAGAGCTAAGCAAACAGTTTTGAAAACTTTGTAGTAAATATAAATTTTGTTGCCTAAATTTGCATGGGCAGACCCTGATCCTGTGCTGAAGCCCAACCCAGCCACCAAAAGTTGTGTGGTGCATGGAAATAATTCCCTTTACAAGCTTTTAAGGGTGACACAAGCACATTCCCAGTATCAGTGAGGAACAGGGCAGAGTGGACAGTATGTCCATGATCATTTCCACCCATTGCAAAGAATGACAGGAGCCCTCTCCTGTCTACACATGAGATATTTCCTCAGAGTACTTTCACAGCTTGGACTGTCACTCTTAATAATGAAGTTTCTTTACATAAATAATAAATCTGGCATGAATTTAGATGCAATGAGCTTGCTTTTTGTTGTTTTATTTCTCTTATACATCTACCCCACCATACCTTATGGTCTGGCACCTCTGTACCTGGTACTGCTCTCATGTGGAAGTCCACGACTCCCTTTTTTTTCAGTGATTCCAACAGACACATTTGGTCATTTCTCTGTGGTTTTTCTTTCTGCAGCTTTGCTTCCTCCCTCTCCGTGGCCAGCCTGTACCAGGAAGCACATCACCCATGGAAAAAGGTGCAGAATTGGAGCTGGCAGTGATCCCCTCCCACAGAACAGCAGCCACTGGGACTTCCCCCACTCAGGGGATGAACCCCATCACCTCTGAGGGAACAGTGATGCAAAACCTGTTACAGCATCAAAGGTAAAGCAACAGCCCAGAGAATCTATCAAAACTGAAACAATAAGAGTGTACAAAATCAAAGTACAGCCACAACATTATCAGATAAGCAGAAAAAGGGCAATTTTAGCGACAACATACATTTGAAAGATTGGTTTTTACCTGTGCAAAAAGCTTTCTTTGGCCAACTCAATTTGGAGTGTCCCCCCTTTCCATTTTGTTTTATTTAAAACTGACACGCCTGCAAAACAAAGATGGGAGATGAGTATTTTCTACATCAAAAAAAAAAAGCACTCACAGAGTTCACTAGGCCTCCCTGTATGACAGCCTGAGGCTCCCCCAGCATCACCTTGTACCTGATTGCCCACTTGGGTCAGGGCTGCAGCTGAGAGGGCTAATATCCAAATCTTAAACCAGCAGGTTTACAGCCAAAACTGAAGTTCTCCCTTCAAAAGTACCTAATGCAGCGTTCCCCAGAGCCAGGGGCACATTGCAGAAGGAGCTTTACATCAGCTCTTCTTCTGGCTGTCCTCTCACAGAAATCAATTTCAGTGTTTTATAGATCTGACAAAAGCACAAGCCATAAAAGGCTTAGAACAAACAAACAGGGTGCCCACAGCAGCTGTGGCTGCCCCAGCCCTGGAAGTGTCCCAGGCCAGGCTGGAGAGGGCTTGGAGCAGCCTGGGACAGTGGAAAGAGTCCCTGCCATGGACTCATCCATCATGAGATGATCATTAAGGTCCCTTCCAAGGCAGACCATTCCCTGAGGCTCTGAAACTCACAAATCACATCCTTCAGTCACAAGGGATCTTTTCAATCTGCTCACAGCAATTTCTGAAAACTTCAGCAAAGCAGCTTCCACAAAGCTGCAGCTTAAAGAAACTAAAATCAACCTGACAAGAAAATGAAAGAGGCTCTACCATGACCACAGCTGGATGTGACAACATGGGATGAGCTATCAGCAATGTAACTTGGCTCAAAAACATAACTAAGGGAAAAAAAAAACAAAAACAAAGAAGTACTTACACTTTTTCAGATCTGCATCAGAAATGTTCACACTGATGTAAGCAAAAGTTTTCGTAGGGTTCCCTGATCAATGACAAACGTTAAGTTAATTTTATGTAGTTTCATCATTCTTTTCAAAAAGAACTGTCTCTAAAGCAAAAATTCCATTTCATGCTCTAAACAGAAAAGCAAATAACTTTTAAAAAATTGAAAGAAAACCGTTACCCTGATCATCTTTCCTGGTAATAATCTCTGCCTCCAAAACACGCCCAAAATTGCCAAATCTTTCTTCCAGCTCAGCCTTGGAAACCGTGTGGCCAAGCCCTCCAACATAGAGACGTTTGGAAACCTGTTCCTTCTCCATGCTGCCAAGCCAAGGTGTCACACCAGGACACACCCTCTGTTCCTCTGCAGGGAGACAAAACAGTTCAGGGACACGCAAATTAACGTGATTAGAACAGCAGATCAGGGACAAATCAGTGCATTAAAAGCCACGAAGAACCTTATGAGCAGAGTTGCAGTGGGTACCACGCTCTGTTCCAAAGCAGCGACAGCAAACCCCGTGCTGCTGCAGGAAACTGAAGTTCAGGGGCTTATTCAAACACTGAACCACATAAGTGAACCCTATAACTGAGCCATATAAATGTATGCACATACAGCACAAGAGCAGATGCACATACAGCACAGAGAATAAGGGCAAACCACTCTTTACAATATAACCCAAGGCTTCCCTAGAGCGGGAACACGAAACGCAGCCCGCAGCCCAACCCTCCCGGGAGATATCGAGGAACCCCCAGTCCCGCCGCCCCCGGCCCGGCCTCACCGCCGCCATGTGCGAACCCCACAGCGCCACCGCTTTAGCTTCCTCCCGGCAACTTTTCCCAGCCCTCACTCGAAAAAAACGGTTCCGCCTCCTGGTGCCGCTGGATTCTGCTCGCCTCTGCTAGGTTCCTGTTTCCGGCCGGACAGGTGTGCTGGGAACACGGGGGCTGGCTCCTGCGGCAGCGGACGCTTTGAAAGTGACAAACCAGGAAGAAAAGTGGGGGTGTTTTCCATAACACGCGAGCAAAAATTGACGGGAACAAAGGAACAGCCGACAAAGCAAGGCTTTTTTACTTTCATTTATGGTAAAGAGCTCGGGAATTATCCCCCAGCGGCTTTGCTGTTCGACAGGGAGGAGAAGGAAGGCGCGGCCGGCGGCACCCGCTGGGGCAGCAGCTGTGGTAGCGCCCGGGCTCGGGAGTTGGCGGGCGGTTCGAAAAGTGCGGGGCGCGCGCGCCGGGTCTGAGCGCTGCCCTGCCCTCAGCACCGGCTCCATCGCTCACTGCCTTCCCCTCAGAGCCCTCAGCGTCGGGTCTCAGCGCTGCCCTGCCCTCAGCACCCTCAGCACCGGCTCCATCGCTCACTGCCTTCCCCTCAGAGCCCTCAGCGCCCTCAGCACCGGCTCCATCGCTCGCTGCCTTCCCCTCAGAGCCCTCAGCGCCGGGTCTGAGCGCTTCCCTCCCCTCAGCGCCCTCAGCGTCCGCTCCCGCCGCTCCTCTCTCAGGGCCGGCTCCCAGGGCTCCGGACTGCGCTGCTCGGGCACCCGCTTCGGCCCCGGGGCACCTCTGTCACCCCCGAACCTCGGCGCGGGTCAGCCCCGGCTCCTCGGACGAGTCGCGATTTCAGCATCGCCCTGCCAGGGTCTGAAGGGTCTCTGCAGGGAAGCAGCAGGCACGGAACGCACCGGTTCGGTTCTCACAAACGCTCCAAAGCGCTTCCCAGCTCCTCCTGGGGCAGCATAAAGTCAAATACTCGGAGCTGTAAACGGGCAGGTACGTAAAAATGTGAAAGATGTGATGTTAATGCGCAAATATTTATAAATATACACATGTACGATATATAAGAGGAGAACTGTTTGTAAAAGTTCTGTTTTACTTGATTCAAGAGTAGGGATTTTTTTCTAGATATAAAATATTTGAAGTCGTAATTAATGTTTGGAGTCTTCTGCTGTTTAGTGAAATCCTTGAGTTTAAGTAGCTGTAAGTAGTTTATGTCTCCTGTTACTGCTGTTAAAAGAGGCATCAGCTGACATGGGGTAACATTCTGGCTGTGGTTGGTAATGTTTTTCTTTTTCCCACCATACTCTTTATTGTGTCTGTGACTTTCTTCACCGTATCCAGTCCAAAAAAATCTGGCGACCATGGGATGCTTATTTAATTGCATATGCTTTACTCACTAAGCAAGTTTTTAATGCAAAGTGTGCTTTCTAAGTTGTTTTCTTATGTGTGTTATAAAGGCGCTGCTTCCTAGGAAATAAACAAAATTCAATTTCCCCCTCATCCCCTTTGACTGAACGGTGTTAGTGTGGAACTTGCATACCACATAGAGTAGGGGTGGTTTAAAACATTTTAAACACTCCACAACGAGTAGTTTAAAAACACACAAAACTAAATGTTGGGTTTTTCCTAGTCAAAAGTATTAGCACATTAATTCTGAGCTGCATATATCTTCCACATGCTTTTGAATGTGTTGTAGCTAGGCTGAATGTCAGATTATTTTTTTCCTGAAAACTGAGGTTTATTTTTTTAAATTATTGGTGAAAAGTGTTTGCAGTGAGTGTCTCTGCACTCCTGCTCACTCTGTGGCAGATTGTGTTAGGAGCAGCTGTGCCTCGTCTGCCCAGGTGAGTCGTTAGGTCAATTGGCCAAAGCTGGGTTCTGTTCTTGTCTCTGATTGCAGTTGGTTCTTACCTGTGCAGCAGCTTGTTGTTCTATTACAGCAAATGGAAAACAGCTGAGTGCACTCCTGGATCAAATCATGACTAATTAAAAAGATTCTTAAAGCCTTTGACTCCATTAGATCCCTGATTTAGCTTCTGTCTCTGGAGGCTGTCCAGTGCTCTGTATCTTGAAACCGTTGCCTAATGTTATATTTGTGATTTTAGAAAATTGATTGTTCCTGAGAAAAATCCTTATTTTGTTTTGTGTAGTGATTCTGAGATCTGAGAAATGGATGAGGGCATTTTTCAAGCTTATGAAAAGGAAATCCAGGCACTGGAAGAGGAAATTAGGCTGCTGACAGAGCAGTATGAAGATATGAGACAAGAATCCACCTTCTTTTCTGATGAGGAGATACTGAAGGCAATGTATGCTTTTTTTTTCATTTGTTAGATTAACGGAATTTCTTTGTCAAAATTGTTTGGGCTATGCTTTTGTCTCTATGTAAATGCAAACTCCATGGATAAAATAAGTAATTTTTCTTGGATGTTTTTGCACATATCTCAAAATGGACACTTGCACCTCCAGACTTAGAATAAAAGCTGTGTCTACCTGGCAGTGGCTGGAAAGAGTTTATGTAAGTTAGAATAGGTTTATTATTTCCAGCAATGTGATCCAACTGAAACTTGACTCCTTGGAAACTTGATGTGGGTCTGAAAACCATCAGATCCCATTACTAATACCTTTTATTTAATGATATTGCTGTACTAACATGCTAGGTCTGGGTATTTTGACTTTTTTTTTTTTTCTTCCATTCTAGGAAATCACTCCAAGGAGAAACTGAGGGAGAAACCAAGGAACATGAATCTCTATCAGACCTGAAAGCTCAGCTTGAAAGTCTAGAAAGAGATCTCTCATTTTTAATGGAATTTACTGGGATTCATTTCACAAGTCATTCCAAGAAAACAGTGGAAAAGAGTAAGCAGTTTTGTGCCCTTTACTGAGCATACTGGTTGCAGTTCATCTGCAAACCTCTCTCCTGTTAGCAGAAAGACAATGCCTTTGAAATACAGTAAGATTTGGTTCATTGACAGAATAGTTTCTGGGTCAATATTGTCCTTTTCTTGATGGGAAAGGCACAGACTACTATTGTGCTTTGCTTAGGGGGAAAGTGGAGTTTGTTGGTGCTGTTTTTTAGTGTGTTAAACTTATTTACATGAGGAATGGTAACAGTACTTTGACTAAGGGAAGAAATGCAGCAGTTATTGAAGTGGAATTGAGTGTTCTGTTAACTTGATTTTCTAACAGCTCCAAACAAGACAGTGCGGAAGCACAGATTAGCAGGGAGGTGTCACTCCCTACCTTTTCAACTGGAATTCCAGCTTCTTGAAATGCAGGTAAGGGTCAATGTATGCTTTAAAAAAACAGCTACCAAACAGAACTTTAAATGGACAAATGTCACTGCTGCCTTTTCCAGCTCAAACCTTCAACTCTTTAATCTAAGTTTCAGTGTGTTCTTTTGGCTCTTTAACATCTGGACCCAACTTAGGAATTCTGTGTGCATCCAAGCAAGATAGTTGATAGGAGGTCAGGTTTAGTGTTGAGCCTCAAAGTGGTTACCATATGATTATTTAGGTTGGAAAAAACCTTCAAGATCAAGTCCAGCTGTTAACCCAGTACTGCCAGGTCCTTATCACCTTTCCTTCCCAAAAGGTGCTCCCTGCAGGATGCTCTTGCAGCCTGACACTGAGGTAAAGCCCTGGGAGCACTTGGTGTCCTTCAGCTCTGCCAGGTCCCCACTGGGGCCTGACCCAGCCCAGCTTTCATCCCACACAGCACATTCTATTGTCACATACCTTATTCTGGAATTGGAAGATGCCAAATGTTACCTCTCTGGAAGAAACAGGAAAAGCTAAAACACTACAAACTTCAGCAGCTCTTTTTGTTGGTTTGGGTTTGTTTGTTTCTTTTCCTTTGGTTATGTTTGTGTGTGCTTTGGTGAGTAGTCATTGCAGCACTGCCACAAGTTACACCAATGATTGCAGATTTTCTGGGAGGGAGCTCTTTTGTAAGACTCTATTCTTAGCACGGAATTCAAGATGCTAAGCAAAGGAAAACAGTTTCTACCCCAATTTGCAATAGCATTTTTCTAACACTTGTACTTTGTAATGGTATTTCTAACAACATGAAAACTTGATTTTTCAGCTCAGCTTTAAAGTTGTTTGTTTGTTTTAATTTAATGAGATGGGACTGAGAGTAAACAGTAAAGATGTCCTTCCTAGTCTTTAGAAAAGCCATATTATGAATTTGGGAACTGAATATTTAGGTACCCACATGTGGATTTTATCCTTTGAAGCTGCAAGAGTTCAGCTGAATGAGCAACCTCTGAAGTCCATTTGTAACTTAAAACTTGTGATCTTCATGATGCCTCTTGACATTTGCATGTATAAAACTGCACTTAGAATGTTTCTCAGCTGCATCTCCTGCAGCATGATGGCACCTTTGGTGTCAGTGGGGCTCAGAGGGGTTACTGGGTGTTAAATTTACTGCCGACGCTATTGGTGCATTCCACCACTGAGTGGCAGCACTTGGCTGCCTAATGTCTAAAATTTGGGCTACTTTGAATGCTGATGAGATTTAAGTATACATACACCTGGGAATAGCAGGTGTATGTATACATAAAAACCCTCACTTCAGCTGTAAAAGTATAATTTTGAGCTGATTTTTGCATGATTTTTTTTTTGTTTGTTTGCTGGAAGTACATCATACTCAAATTAATCTGTCTGACAGTAGCATGGACAAGGTAGTGCAGTTATAAGCAGTTTCACCTGGCCTGAGGAACAAAAGCTGTTTCTGGGAAGTGCCCAGTAGGTAACAGGTCTGGTGGTATGCACCAGAAGGTCAGGAATAATTTTTTCACACTGTTAACTGTAGCTATTTATTCTAGTAGTGAAGTCACAATAGAGTTAACTCAGCTTCATGATATTAAGTATTAGGAGAGGAGATGAGCTTGAAAATCAGCCAGAACAAAAGGCTGAGCCTTTTGGGAAAGCAATCATTTAAAAAGAGTTTCTTTCTTGCCCAGAGATTTCCTTTTAAATGTTTTTATTTGGCCCCACAAAGGCATTTTGGCATGTTAGTAGCCCCTCCATTGGCAATCCAGTCCCTTCAGAAGGTGCCATGTTAGCTTGTGCCTGCTGGCAGCTTCTCCACAACCCCATCCCCCTGTTGAACCTCGTGCTCTGAACCTAAAATGATTTTTCCTGATGTTCCTTAGTGCATCCAGTGATCTCTGTAGTGCCTTGCTGCTCTTTTCCCATCCTTAGTGGTGGCAGTGTCAGCAGGGCTCTGTCCAAGCAGCACAGGGACTGCTGAGGGTGGTGTGCAGCCCTCTCTTGCCATTCCCATTTGCTTGTAGTGCCTTGGTATAAGAGGTTTAAAGTGAGGCATTTCCTGTGGTCTTCAAACCATGATTTTAAGCTTTTTTATTCACTGTTATTAAATCCATTGCTTTGGTGTGCTCAAGAATGCATAGAAAAGAGAATTGCCTTCTTTTGTGGCTTCATTTCTACTCTGACCACCTTTTCTCATTCTTTTACAGCTTATTAATTAATTTAGAATAATTTTATTATCCCACACATACTTCTGAGTAACAGCGATTGTAAAAAAAAAACCAATATTTTGAGACAAAACTATAGGGTCTAAAATTAGAGAGACAGCCCAAAACTAACAGATAAAACCTTATATGTTAATTTTCTGGTATATGTGGCAGCTCAAGGTTGAGTTGGAATATGAGAAGAATCTTAAAGAAGTGGGATTGATGTGAAAAGAAGTAATGAACCTTCCTTTATATATATATTTTTTTTTTCTATGCTGACAAACTCAGGTGTTATTCCAAAAGCCTTGTGTGGATAATAGTGCTACTCTTGAAATGAAAGAAACTGTTCACACATACAAACTGTAGTTTTAAAAATGCTATTTTAAGGATTATAGTAGTTAGCAGCATTAATATATTTATATTTTTATATGTATATATTTTTATTATATCTTTATATTTTTATATGCATATAGACACATTTTTCTCCTCACTAGAGCAATTTCTAAAATATTTTGTTGTTCCTTCTCCAATCTAGAAGGATGAGAAAGTGTCTGCTGTGGTTAGTAATCTCAGCATTACAGTGGACTCCAGAGAAGATTCAAATGTGAGCAAGTTTGTGTCACGGTAAGATGGAATTTTTTGCTCAAGGCAAGTTATTGTGTGGGATATGGGATACTAAATGCAGCACTGAGTTCTCATGTGAATTGCTGGCAGCCAGTGTCTTTATGTGATGTGTCCTTAGCCCAACCTAAACCCTTCCATCCCTTTCTGTATCCTGGAGAGAAGATGAGAGGCATGTGATTTTTAAGATCTGGAAGGACCTTTACAAACTCATGTTATATAATTGCTCCTCAGCTGTCTGTGTCAGCTGCACTGGGGGTAATGCCTAAAATGCACACAGAACCCCTCTTCAGTATTTGCCTCTTTCTGATTCTCAGCTCTCAATTCCATTTCTCTTATTGGCAACAGGATTTATTTCACTGCTGTCTTCAAAAAAATGTAATTTAAAAGCATGGACTAGTGTATTTGTGCAATAGCTTAAGAAAATTAACATACTTAAATGTATGAATGAATGCTGTTTCTTATTATTTTCTGGATATGCCAACTTCTTGTGGTAACATGATGAGTAAATGATCAAATTATTTTCTGCAGTGTTCCACTGAATTGTGTTAGCAAGCTGTTCTGAGAACAAATCCATTATCATTGATTTACTTCTTTTTTTTTAAGTTGTTTCTTTTGTTTTCTGTTATTTTTGGTCTTGGGGAAGGAGAAGAAGGGCCAACAGATGGATGAAGAGAGAGGTCTATTGAGTTACCTCAGGCTTCAGTAGTCTCTACTGAAAACTATTGTACTTAAAGGCTTTGAGATTTCCATATAAATCTACTAAAGCTGTGGTGGAACTGGGAAGAGCAGTTGACTGCTCTCAAGAAGTGGGATTTAGAAGAGGAAATTGCCCTGTTTTATTCATGACTATTTTATGACAGCAGGAGTGTATTGGAACTTAATAGTCACACTGGAAAGGAATGTGTTGAAGTAGTGGCAGACTTTATTTCATCCTGGCTGGAGCACTGCTCTCTTGTCCCTGTCTCTTCTCCTTTTTCACCTTGTGCCAGTACTCAGAAATAAGCACAAGTTTTCATGAATGATTGAGATGCCAACAAAGCAGGCAGTGCCTTCTCCTGAGGCTCCCTTTGCACGTGGCCTTGTGCCTGTGGGTACCCTTGCAGCCAATAGGATCAATGGGCTCAGTAGGTTTCTGGGGGGCAGGGAACAACCCAAACTTGTTCCCCCATAACACCTTCAGATTTCACTTTTCCTGTGTGTCCTGTCCAGGCCACAGTGAGTGCTGGCAGTGTGAGGCAGTGAGTCCATGGCTGATGCTGGCAGGGCCTGTTTGAGAGCACCCCCTGTTCCCCTGGGTCTGTGATCTCCCTTCAGGGCCTGTTTTCTCCATCCCCTTGCTGGGCTACTCCTCATTTCTTTTTCCAAGTTGTAGTCCCCTCATGTCCAGTTTCAGACTTTTCCCAAGTAGCCCTTTGTGTTTTAGTCTGCTCCTGAAATTCCTCCCTCTTCCCTTCTTTTCCCTCCATTCCTGACCAGCTGAATCTGGTCCTCTGCAGTTTTGTTCATTTTCAGCCTCCCTACCAGTTTGTTTTCTTCAATTGCTTCCTTGGCCCAGTCTTGCCAAATCCATTGTCTAGTTCTGTTCTGTTTTGTCTCCTGGCTGGGATTTTTTTCCTCCCCAGTTTTCTAATTTTTTTTGGCTATGTTTTTCTTCATAATACGTGTCAGAAATTGGTCTTTAAGAACAGCAGAGTTAAAAATCTGGCACTCAGTTCCTGCTTTGGAAGAAAATAGGGGAATGCTAGAGCACTTGAACAATATCTTTGTAAATGAAGCAAAATTCAGCAGTCTGCAGGTACTGCTCTAATGTATAAATGGTACATCTCTATGTAAGAATTGTACATTTTTTAAAAGTGGTATCTTTTTATATAATTTCTTAATTATTTTGTGACAATAACAGATGTATGCAAATGAAATCACAATATTTAGTTGTCTTTTTTTGGATTTCACATTTGTCCCCTTTGGACCACTTATTACTTATGTTATACTTTATTAGTGTTGAGAACCACAACACCTAAAGAAACTCTTGTCAGTCCTTTTTCCTTTTTTAGACTTGACACCCCTTTAATTGTTGGGGGAGTTCACCTTTGCATGGGTTACTTAGGCAAATAGGGGTTTTAAGCAGTATGAAAATTGCTCTTACTTTTTATTAACTAGTTAGAATCTGTAAGTCAGAGTGCAGGATTTAGAAAATGTGCTTTATATTAAATGCTGCATGGGCGAAGTCCCTTGCAAATGAAGAGATGCAGGAATTCTCCCCCCAGCTTTGAGTCATGCTTTGGTTTTCTGTGCTAATGTAGGAAGTCTTGCATTCTGCAGTGAGTTAAAATCGATTTTCTCCCTTAAAATACACAATGGAACAGATTAAAGGAGGGTTAGATACTCTTACAACAGGTAAATTTCCTATATACTTCTGTGTTTTGTGGATATTTTGTGAAAGTGTGTTTGGATGAAGAGCCCATGATTTTAAGCTGACAGAGTTACTCTCTGCCTGAATATCCTTTCCAGTGGTTTTGGATGACTTCTCTGTAACATGGATGTTGGCATTGCACACAAGTGTTTTCTGCTCCTAGTGGATTGTTGTAATGCTAAATTCTTTCAAAATAAAACAAGACTTGAATTTTACCATCCACTCTCTTACTACCTTGTTATTTTATACCACGTTTCCTTGGTATTTAAACATTTGGTGTAGTTGACTTTCAGCAGGAGGAATTAGGCTAATTAGGAATTATTGTTTGTGGGTAGATTGGATGCTGTGAGAGTTCACTGAACTGGTGCTCTTATGCTGTCTCTTACTCCTTTGCCAATATGGATTTACATACAGCTGTTCTTGCCAACAGATTCCCCCTTTCTAGACACTGACTTTAGCTTTCTATCTTGAATTTAACCAGTGCTATGTGAGAAAAGGACCTCCTCAGGTATATTGGTTGACTAACTTCTACATTGGAACCTGGTTCTTTGAACTTCTACCCAAAGCTTTTTCTTTCTGTTGATGTTCCACCCTTAAAAATTATCTGCTGCATCACCTAAAAACTGGTTTGAGGCAAAAAGGCAATAAACTAATAGCCATGCTAAACCAAGGTCACAGTGTTTGTGATAGTATTTTAAATAGCCTGAAGGTGGATTTTATAAACACTGCCAAGTTCTTCAAAAAGAATTTCAAGTGTGTCATTTGGTAACAAAGCTTTGTGTTCCCTTTTCTATGAGTGGAGATGAAAAAAGCCCAGAGCAGTTTGTGTGCAATCTGTTCTCCAGGCATGCATGTGAGCAGTTGTTACCAGGCTCCTCAGTTCCTATAGAATGAGCAGACTTGGACATGTACAATTCAGAGTTGTGGTTAAACCAGCTCCCAGACCAGGGCTGAAGAGCTATTGTAAATCAGTGTCTGTGTCCTTCCAGGGACTCACTTTTCCCAACTGCTGCCAGCAATTTTTTCATCTTGGCCTGATTTTGTTGGCAGCTGTGACTACTGTGGTAACTTCCTTTAATGATGCTGTTCTTTCCAGGCTGGGATAAAACTTGTTGGCTTTTATTTCACATTTTCAATATCTGAATGACCTTAATGTATTTTTCCCAGTTGCTTTGTGTAACTGGTTAAGGTTTGCTGTTCCTGTATATTAACTAGAGCAGGATTGAAAGCACAGTTCTCCCTGGGAAGGCTGAACTGCCTTGGAAATCCACTGTTGCAGCCATTCTGTGAGTGCCTCAGGTCTCTGCTCTCAGCTGTTCTGAAAATCCAAAAACAATAGCTAATCTCAGAGCAGATGTCAGAGTTCAAATTTACATTAGAATTTAAATACTCTAACTTCCTGAAATATTCTCAAACATCAGGCAGGTATCTCCCTCAAGTCAGGTTTTATAAACTTGTAAAATCCAATATTAGTAACCAAAAGAAATATTTGTATTTCCAAAACAGTGCTTGCCAGGTGTGTTTTGATGATGGCTAATAGTCTGTGGCTCATAACAACAATGACCTGAAGCCTTTCACCCTTATGTTTAAATAATCATGTTACTTTAGCTATCTTGACATGTGGTTTTTGTGGAGTTCTGCACCCTTTGCGTTCTGGCTGCATTTTTTTAGTGAAAACTGCACACCCTTTATGAGCTTTTTTTCCTCTTTTCCCCAACAACCCTGCATGTGTGGTTTGCTGCCTGACAGTTTGTCACCTTCTATTGTCTCTTTTCCTTTCTCCATCGTGATTCATACTAGAAATTTGAGAAATTTTTTCGTCCCACTTTCCCTCCCACTTTCCCTCCCACTCCCCCCTCCCCAGCATAAGAAGGAACATGGACCTGTTAGAGCAGATCCAGAGGAGAGTGAGGAAGGTGTTCAGAGGGCTGGAGTCCCTCTGCTCTAGAGACAAGATCACATCAAGCTTTAAGTGTCTGACCAAAGTTTTGGTTTAGATGCCCTGTGTCACCAGGCCTCCCATCCTGGTGAAGCTGCAAGGGTAATCTTGGAAAGCTGAATTCATCTTGGTTAATCTTGAAAAGCAGAGACAGGTAACATGTCATGTAGAGTTAGTTGGCTAGGACAAAGATTTTTGGGAATATTTGAAGGTTAGTGATGCAATTTGGCACATCTTACCATTTTGCAGGTTTGGGTTTTACTATGCAGCATCTTAGAATTTATTTAGAAAACTAGTTGAACAAGAATAAAATCAAACTAAGATATTGCAGGTGACTACTTTGTTCCCACATTTTACGTGTAAGACAAACACCAGAAACATTGGTTTAGGAATGTGTTCTTCCACCTCTTTTTCAATCATTACAGCTTTTTTTCAGCTTTGTGGTTCTTATTTTGGATGATTTCTACTTCGTATTCAAACAATACTAATGAATTTTTTTAAGTGTGAATTTTACACTGATATGATAATCTGATTATCATATCAGTGTAAAATGATACAATAATCAGATTATCATATACATCTGATTATGAGTGGGTTAACCAATATATTTTTGTTTTGTAGCACTGAAGAATGTGGAGATATTATAACATTTTTCAGGAGCCTTTCAACCTATGCTGAGTGGCATGAGCATCGTAGACACACCTTCCTGCATTTCAAGGTAGTGTCTATCAAACCTTTATTTATTAGTACAATATTTATTGTTTTAAGAAGTTTTAGTAAGAGCACTGGAAGTGAAACTGGCTGTCTTTAGCAGAATGTAGGTATAGTAGAGGAAATGTATTTGAATATCTGTATAGAGGCTTTGCCCCAGAGGTCCTGGTTGCCCTTGATGGGCTGCAGCTGCGATGGCCTTAATTGGGCTGCAGCTGTAACCAATGAACATGACTGGGATAAAAGGGGGTGGGATAGCCAGTCAGGGAGAGCTTTGGAGGAGCCCTGAGCTAAGAGAGAACAGTGTGCAGAAGAAGGAGTCAGTGAAGATCTGCAGCCATGAGAATACACCAAAGAGGTATGGACTTTAGAAGTCTGATAACAACAACAATATGGGACTCTAGTTAATAGAACAACAACAATTGGTGACCCCAATGTGATAGTTAACAGGAGATAAGACAGCCGAGAGCTGTGGCAGCCGAGAGCTGCGACAGAACACAGCCTTTGGGTCAGGGAGCTGTGAAAGAGTATGGCCTTTGAGCAAGGAGCTATGTGGGTTGTACATGGCCTGTGAGTCATGGAGAAATGTATGTATTGTATTTGAACATCTGTACAACTGTTAACTCATGTAAAAGAAAAGGGGGAAATATAGTAGAGGAAATGTATTAGAATATCTGTATAGAGGCTTTGCCCCAGAGGTCCTGTTGCCCTTGATGGGCTGCAGCTGTGATGGCCTTAATTGGGCTGCAGCTGTAACCAATGAACATGACTGGGATAAAAGGGGGTGGGTTGGCCAGTCAGGGAGAGCCTTGGAGGAGCCCAGAGCTGAGAGAGAACAGCATGCAGAAGAAGGAGTCAAGGAGTCAGTGAAGATCTGCAGCCATGAGAATACACCAAAGAGGTATGGACTTTTGAAATCTGATAACAACAATATAAGACTTTAGAGAAATAATAGAAGAACAACATGTAGGATTTTAATTTTGTATGTGGTGGTGAAGAGAATATGAGCTAAAAATCTGTGCTGTGTTCAAGGGGCAATTGCTGTGTTCCTCCTGGGTGGAGGAAAATAAGACTCTGCCTTTCTGAGAAGGAGTAAGACAGTTTGCTTTGGTATTATATTTTATTTTGATTTAAAAAAAAAAGAAGAAATTAAAAGAAAATAACACTTGTAGTCTTTGGCATCTAAATGTTGGTTTTGAAGGATTAGATCTGTTTCTCTTGAAGATGTGTCAGCATGTGTTTGGATGACAGCACTTTCAGTTCTGGAGTGTTTTACTTGTGTGGGAAATAAACTGTTCCTCCCTCCTAACTGGAACATAGTATTTCAGCTTAGTTTTAAATTACCAGTATTTGGGTTGTTTGTTTTGACTTTGTGCTGGTTTTAAGATAAACAACTAATCCTTGGAGTAAAAATACTACAGTCTTACAGACACAAAACATCTTACATGAGGCTTTATGTTAGGGAAGGATGTTTAGCTGCTTAATTGTTTGTGGTTTCTTGGCTGAGTTTTAGAGACCTCAAGAATTTACTGTCATTAAACTCGACACCATCTTTACTTTTCAGCTGTAGTATCAAGTGGGAACTGCACTTTTTCCGATTTTTTTCAGTCTTTTAGGCCTTTGAGTTCTGTACCAAATTAATCAATTTCTATTATCCAATCAACCAGAATAGAAAAAAGAGTTCTATTTTCTGACAGCACTAAAAAAAAGGAATCCAGTCCTCAGCTGAGCAATGAACTGGCATTGCCTAACCCTGCTGGCTTTTGTCTAAGGGCTTTTCTCTAAACCCTCCATAGCAAAGGTAGAGCACCAAGAGCTTTAGGGCTCTGCAATTGTTTTTTCCAGCTTCCCTTGATGCTTTCTGATCCTTAGATCAGCAGTCACTGTGGTTTCTGGGACAGTGAACTGTTGTAAATATTTCTCATTTTAAAATATAATAAAAAGGAAAGAGATAGGAAAGAGTTTTGGAGACAATTTTAAAATTGTTGTTATATAAGCAGTTTTTAAAAGTGTTTGTTCAGATGTTGAGTATAAACAATGAAATAATCTACTAATTGCTAGAAGATGTGTGAAGATAATTCATTGAAGACATTACAAGTTTGTCAGTATTACAGATGTTCTTTCTAAAGGTAGTTTTATTTCCATGCTCAAAGGCAAAGGTAAAGTTGAAAGACAAACCAATTTGGGAGAGTTACCAAATATGCCTGACTGTGTGCTTATGAAGAATATTTTAGACCTCCTTATTTTTGTTAGCATTGCTAATAATTTAATTTTGAAACAGAAGACTTTCTCAGGTAAGAGAATTAATACAAGGTTCAAATGTGACCATTCAAAAAATTAGATTGCCAAGGAGAATGTATATTTGTAGTTTAATGTTTTAGTAATTTGTGGGAAAGCAATTAGACATATGTTGTTAATATATGCATAAAACCAACTCAAGAGTCTATCCTGTTAATATTCACACTTACACAAAATTAAAAATGAGTCTGTAATCTTTGTATTTATTTTTCCCCCTACCTGCTCTCCAGACTCCCCTGTTTTGGAGAGAAAGCTGTTGGAGGGGAGTCTTGGGTTTTTAGCTCTTCTGTTAACATGGGGGTTTTTAAAAAGAAAATTGCCAAGACTTCAAAGTAGGAATAAAATAGTTTCTGATACTTTCCTCAGAGTGTAGTGTGAAAACACCAAAGGTAGTTTATTTTTTCTTTCCTGTTTTGGTACCTGAGAAGAAAGGGATAATGTAGAAGTGGATGAGTACTTCAAGTAATATTGGATGTTTTGAGATTCATGGCAATTCAAGGTCAATTCAAACTGGGTTTTGAAGGAGCAAGTGGAGTGTTCAGCACATATTCTGTATGGCAGGTCTTGCTATTGTCACAAGAAATATGTCTGTAGAATGGATTTACATCTGCAAATAACCGTCTAACCTTAGTCTGCTGTGAGGCTGAACAACTGAGACGTGTTGGCAAGGCTAGAAGAGCAGGTTGTGGAAGCTGATACTGATAAGCAAGAACAAAAATTCAAGTTTTATTGGAAATTCAGAACAGAAATGAGTGATAGGAAAAAAATGAAATGGTTTACATTCAGCTTGATATTAGTACTGGTCACAGAAATAGGAGGTGGAAATCCTCCCTACTGAAGCCTTTCCTACTTCATGTTTTGATTAACTTGCTGTGAATGAGGAAAATAAAGTAAAACACATCAGAGAACTTGGTGCCTGCATGAGAAATTCAGAAGGTACCACTTGTCTACTTTGGTTTGCTCACAAAGTGTTAAGAGCATGAATTAGTGTTACTGATGATAATTAGTACATTTCAAAAATATATACAACATTTTAATGTAAAATTAATTGTGTGGTGGTAGGTCTTAGAATGTTTACATGTGTGTATATATTACAAAATTATGCATTTATTTGTGTATACACTTTTTTGGTGATATTTACTGGTATTTATTTATTTATTTTGGTGACTTACTGAAAAGAGCTTTAGTAGCAATGATTTGTGATGAGAATAAGATCAGAGGCTGCTGCTTATGTAACATTATTATGCTTACAGCTGTGTTTTTTCCATCTTAGGCATTTATCACAAGAGATGGGAGAGAATTGATGGGTTTAATTTTTTCCAAATAGAAATTTGGCTTGACATTGGAATGTATTTTTACATGCTTTGAAGTTGTTTTTTATGTTTTGATAAAGACCCGGGAACATCAAAGTTTTATGATTTATGTGGAAAAATGAAAACCAAGCATTGCTGCCGGACTTGGTTTTGTTCTCAATTAAGACAATGGAATTTCCTTCTTGTTACACTAAATAACTTAAAATGGAAAATACTGGGGGTGGCTGTTTTTCTTGGGTAATGGGTTCAGGGCAAAAATATGTGTTCAGAATTAAGTGCCATCAATTCCCCATAGCACAAGCACTAACAAATCAAGGCTTAGCTAAATAAGATAAATAAAACTAATACAAAATATTTTGTAAAATCAATATTTTAGATGTGGTGATACATCATCATGCATTTGATGCTTAACTATTTCTACTAATTAGGAATCTATACTAGTTTCAAAATTAGTACAAAGTGGATGTGGTAATAATTACTAGCACACCTTTGGCATTCATTTGTCTGGAGGCTTTACACCTGTGGTAGGTATTGGAAGGGAGAAACTGGATGTCAGAAATGTACAGTTCTGGAATTAAAAACATTGTGCCCTTTATCAGTGATGGCCAGTCTTAGATGAGTGTCAAGGCCTGCACCTGTCAATTTGTGTTTTTAATAAACTGCATAGGTTCAAGTCATTGAGTGAAATGGTTGAAGTTACCTCTGATTTCAGATTAATGATGGAATTAACTTTTCTTTGTAACTTCCAAGTCTGATTTGATTTTTCCCTAATGATCAGAAGTATTGTTGCAGAAGGGTAATTCTCTTTCTTTGCTCAGACATCTAGATGAAATCATACTTATTTACAGGCAAACACATGAATTCAGCTTTGCTTTTAACTATATTGTCACATTTCCAGTCAGGAGAAGCTGTGGAACCAAGTTTGGTCTACATCATTAGTTAATAACAAAGGTATTTGAGTCTGTTATGCTGTCTGTGGACTGTTCTTTTAAAATAGGAAGCTGGTGTTGCAAAAACAGCTCTTGTGAGAACAGCTCAGCAAAACATCTATATTTCACTTAAAAAGACATTGTGTAAAAATAAAACACATGTTATTTTCAAAGCAGAATACTAGAAGGAAATCTAAAACATCTTTGCAAAGTTCCAGTCACTATGTTGCTCGGTGTACTAAACCTAAATAGGAGTTATTCTCATTTACCACAAATCAAGTTTTTAAAGAAATGTTAATGAATTTAAGCTTTGAGAAGTTCTGTTTCTAAACATAGCTTTTTCTCATCTGCATCTTCCTCCAATACACTTTTGAAGGTTAACTGAAAAGATTTCACTCCAGATTAAAAGAGTGGGATTAGAATTCAGAAGTATTTATCCTGTTTGGTTTGCTCAAAGAAAATCTTGCATTTATCTGAAAGTAAAGCGTGGTGGTTGTTCTGAGTGCTCATTCTGGTAAAGAATGAGAACAAGCAGTTTTGTGTGATTTTATCTAAAGAGTATGTGGTGAAATAAAAGTTGAGATAATGTGTGTGCATGTACATATATTTTTACACTTTCATTAACAGAAAAGATTCTGAAAGCATGAGGGGACACCATAATGACTAAAGTAACTGGTTTGAAATGGTTATTTCAGAGGAGAATGGGGCAACATAGCAGAAGGCCCTGGGTGAGCAGGGAAAAGAGCATTAGTAAGGGAGAGGATATGAGCTTGTAAACAGAGGAAGAAGTGATCCTTGTTGGATGCCTGGCTGTGGCCCGTGGCTGGCACGAGCAGGGTTAGTAGTAGGTGCCCACGGGCAGCATCCTGAGGCAGGAGAAGGCGTTGACGTGCTTGGCCAGCACGATGGGGTTGCCCTCCATCCTGATCTCGTCCATGCGCGTGCGGATGTAGCGCGTGTTGTTGGACTTGCAGAACGTGTCGTCCGTGATGCTGGTGATGTTGTTGTACTGCAAACCAAAACGTTTTCATAAATAAATGCATACATGCAGTGTTGATAAAAGATTAGAGCTTTTGCCATTTCCTAGCCCTGATGTACAGAAACCAATAATAAATCCTGGCATGGGAATTGGCAGCTTCTGAGTTTCTGGATGATTGTGGCCACACACATTGGTATGGTAAATTGTTTTATGCAGAGGTGCAGTGGAAAACTGTGGTGGGAATTGTTTTAAAATAGAATAAGTTGGATTGAAGTGTGTGACTCCTGAGGTGTTTGCTAAGAGAATGTTAAGGAAATGCTTTGGGAATACCTGAAGGTGAAGAATGCGCAGACTCTCCGGTAAGTTCAGGGGCACGGATTCCAGTGCGTTGTGTCCTAAGTAGAGGTAGGCCAAATTTGTGAGCTTCTGTTCAACAGAAAGAGAGGTTACTGATGCTGGAACTACCTGAGGTTAAGTTACTCATGCCTGTTACAAGAAATCAGTAATTTTTCTGATCACATAACCTGTGAACTGTTTTGGTGCAACAAAAGCTGTACTTCTGCTGTGGATGTTGAGTCCTATTATATCAAGAAATTCATAAAACAGACCTTCTATGTTTGGGAAATTTCAGTGTCAGCATGTTGGTTATAAAAGTTGAGACCACTATAAAGTACTCTATGTGTATTGTTTGTTAGTATATCTCTAGTCTTCAGAACTCTAATTGAGCCATCAATTTTTGATTTTTTTTTTTTTATTTTTAACATGTTAGAGAGAAAGCAAGCAGGTGAGATATTTAATAGAAAATTCTTTTCTACATGGAGGACATGAGAGAGTAAGTGCACAGATGACTGATATTCCAGAGTGCCTTAAAAGCAAAGCAAAAACTGGAAAGCTGCTTCATTGTAGTTTGTTTCTTAGGTTACAAAAAATACAGAAAAATAATTTGGTGGCAGACTGAATAGTCTGCTTACTAATTTTGGTTACTTTGATTACCTGGAGTTTTTCCTTACCTTGAAAGCATTTGCTTTGATTCCTCTGCTCTTGATTCTGTTTTGGTTTGCATTAAATGATGTTAGTTTGGGAGGTAGAACAGGAAGTTTTACAAGTCGATTTTCAGCAAGAGAAAGTTCTTCCAACAGCAGAAGCTTTGAAAAGGCTCCATCTTCTATTTCTTCTATCCTATTTCCACTAAAATCAATTCTTCTCAAGGTAGCTTTACACAAAAGAAATTAAAATCTAAGTATTGACTTTATAATTACATGGCATATGAAATGTGGTATGGCTGTATATGCTAAATGTTATACTGTTGGCTGCAGCATCTAAATTGTCATCTACAAATGCAAATACTATTAAAATTGATATCTGGATTTTTTCCTGGTCTTAAATTGAAAAAATTAAAAAGGGAAATACTCTGGGTCCTTCTTTTTGTCTTAGAGATAACATGATTTCAGGTATTCATAGACTTTCTCATGCTGTGGAGTGAGATAGCTGGCAGATCTATCCCTGGAGCATTTGAAGGAAAAATAATGCCTGCTTATTTAAGACTGTCTGGGATGCAGAGCTGAATTTTACTTTTAGCAATCTACTCTTTGCCTGATGTTTGGGAATATTAAGATGTTTACAGGGTCCAAAATGCGTGTCCATTGTGCCTTTCAGCTTTGTATTCTAAAGCAGGGGCAGGATTGGGGCGTCACTCACTGATGTCAGCGAAGTCAGAGGCTGCGATCCGTTTGATCTTGTTGAAGCGAGCGTAGAGATAAGCGGTTTCCTTGGGCAGCGGCGGCACGGCCTCGATGTCGATCTCCTCGCAGTACACGGAGCCGCTCAGGCACACGCACAGCAAGCACGTGGGCAGGTCTGCCAGCAAGGCACAGCACACTTACTCACCTCACTTCAGCTTGGTTACTCAAATACAGTATTCTCTAGGCTTTTAACATTTCCTGTTGTTAGGTTTTCAAAAAATTCTATTTACATCAAGTTCTGAGAAGATTTATGTTCTCAACTGTTTTGGGTTTTTTGTTGTTTTCATTGTGCATGATTTCTCTGTGTATAATCTCCATTCTTACCTGAGCATGTAAAATGCTATTAATCAGCCTGAATTCAATTGACATCTTTAGATGGCTAAGAGTATGGTGAATGTGACAACTGCAAGTTTGTGACCGTGTTAAATATCGCATTTGGAAGCAAATCCACAAGGAGAAACACCTGGCAGTACATGCATTTGTACTCTAAGTGTATTGGAGCATTTCTGGCAGGTCACACAATATCCTGTGTTATTCCTTGCTACTATTCTGTCTAAACTTTTTGGTAAAAACTCCAGCAATTATGTTTATATATCATATATGGTTTAGGTTGGAAGGGACATTAAAGATCATTGCATTCCAACCCCCTGCCACAGTCAGGGACACCTTCCACTAGACCAGGTTGCTCAGAGCCCTGTGCACAATCTATCAGTTTTATACTGAGGTTTTTACCGCTGTTGTTTTAAGTAGAGAGAGAAACTTTTTGTAATGTAGTTTGAGACCTTTGCTACTACTACTCCTCAGGGACACTAGTAAAGTATCAGTAACTTCTGCTTTGCTCTAATCTTTTCTGCCAGCAATATTCAAATACATATAATGAATGTGGCTTTGAATCCTGTTTCATCACCACTGCTGTGTCTTGGGCTGTGTTTTCTATATTTTGAGAGTTTTGGTTGGCGTTCACCCTGGAGTGAATGCAGTGCAGACAGCAGGGTCATTCCATGGGGTAGTTGTCACCACACAGCAAAACAGGACCTTCTGCAAGCAGTGAGGAGTTACAAAAGCAGCAGGTCAATACTGGGAAGCCTGCACATAACAGAAATTCTTTTTTTACAGCAGCACTGCAGCGAACAGAATGAAGATTTTGAGTTTAGCTTTGTGAATATCATCATTTTTAGGCTGCAGAGTTCTGCCTTCTTTGGTGGTTTGGTTTTTTTTTTTATTTAGTGGCTTGTTTTCATGTTTGTGTAGGAACTGGAAAATGTCAAACAACCTTGTCACTGTTGAAAAGGCAATAGTTTTTATGCTTGTCTGTCTAGAAGCTCTGATGTTCTTGGAGACTTGCTCAGCATTTGATGGGGGCTTGCTGACAGGTGCTGTTTGGCAATAATTAATCTTGAATTAGCACTTTGGTAGACATTGACAGTCCACTGGTCTTGCTGAATCATCAGTTATTTTTGGAAGTTTATATCACATACACACAAAATAAGTGTCTCTTTTTCTCACTGCTCTATTTGGCAGAGAAACTTTGTCCTTTTTGTGTGCAGAAAGTTCTGGGGCTTGTTAGGAGAAATCTGGACAGTGTACCCAGAGCCTGTAGGAAGCTTTGGCAAGTGAACAATGTTCCTGATGTATTTCAAACATTGACCTCCCTGATCATCAGATGTAAACTTTGAGAATAGCCAATTGTTCAAATACATCTGTTGAAATAATTTAAGCACATAGTATTTCATCATCACTTGGGTTAAACTGTGGAACTTACTGGGGGATGTATTTTGTTTTTCTTTGTTGTCTTGTCTAACTTATTTAACTTGGGTGCATCTCAATGGCAAATATGACTGGGCAAGTCTGTGGAGATGCTTACAAACTGTGCTTTGTGTATTCAGAATTTATCTGAGGATCCTTTAAATTTTTCAGAAGCTACAAGGTTTTCCACAGGAGATATGAAAGATACTCATAAACAAAAAGATTCATTCTGTAGCCTTTGTTATCCTTTGCACTTTAGATCTGTATGTTAAAATTAACATATTCTTTTGGATATCTTAGGCATCACAATATTCGTATCAGTTAACTTACTTGTGTCCTTTGTTGGTGGGACATCAAGTTGGCTGTCATCACTTTGCAGCATTAGGGAGGTGTCAAGAGAAACATTTGTTGCATCCTTTGTGAGAGAACAATTGATGTTTTAAAACACAAACCACAGACAAAAAGCCACAGAGCATTACAAGGATTTGAAATAACATCTTTTAAAGTGAGCTTCCTACAATATACCTACTTATGGCACTTACTTTTTAAAATGCTTTTATAGGTTGGATGACTAAGGTGATGTATTGTTACTTTTACACATGAACTACTCACTTTAAAAGGCAAGAAAGGAAGGTGCTGCCAGTGCTCTTTAGAAAACTCAAGTTCTTCAGGAAAGGACAGTAGACACAAAATAGAAATAGAAAATATAGTCTGTATGGTGGGAAGGAATATCTAAGTGGTGAGTACTAACAGAGTTTTGAAGATCAAGGTTTTGCATATAATGCAAAACTCAATAGGATTCTTGTGAGTATAAGCTGTGGGGTTTTGTTGTTGTTTTACCCAAATAATCTCAGTAAAATGACTGAGATGTCCTTGCATTTAAACTTATTTCAGAATTCCTCCTGGAGATAGTCCATTGCATCTTTTCAATTGCAGGACAAATTAGTTTATAAACACATTCCTTGCAGGTATTGGCTGAAATAATGGAAACAAATTACTCAATCTGCATGTTAGTCTGTTTTAAGGTGTGGGCTGCTCACAGAAAGGGCCTCTTCACACAGAATCACTAGGTTGGAAGATTATTTCACCTTCAAGATGGAGTCCAGCCCTAACGCTTCAACTAGACTGTGGCACCAAGTGCCACATCCAATCTTTGTTAAACACATCCAGGGATGGTGACTCCACCACCTCCCTGGGCAGCCATTCCAGAACTTTATCACCCATTCCATAAAAAACTTTCCTAAAGTCCAACCTGAATTTCCTTTGGTGCAGCTTAAGACTGTGTCCTCTGGTTGTGTCAGTGCTGCCTGGTGAATGAGCCCAACCCCATCTGAGCACAGGCACCTTTCAGGGAGCTGTAGAAAGTGATAAGGTCACCTCTGAGCCTCCTTTTCTGCAGGCTGAGCACCTCCAGCTCCCTCAGGGCTTCCTCACAGGGTTTGTGTTCCCAGCCCCTCTCCAGCCTCGTTGCCTCCTCTGGATGTGCTCAGTGTCCCAAGGTCCTTCCCAAGCTGAGGGCCCAGAGCTGGGCACAGCACTCCAGGTGAGGCCTCAGCAGTGCCCAGTGCAGGGGCAGAGTGAGCTCCCTGCTCCTGCTGGCCACACCATTCCTGAGCCAGGCCAGGAGCCATTGGCTTTTTTGGCCACCAGGGCACTCTGCTGGCTCATGTCCAGCCTGCTGTCCATCAGTCCCTGCAGGTCCCTTTGTGCCTGGGCACTGTCCAGCCACTCTGTCCCCAGCCCAGAGCATTGCAGGGGTTATTGTGGTCTGTTGTGATGCAGGGAACAGCAGTCAGGTTTTCACTGGGTACTGGAGCAATTTTAGAGAAATACCTATTATTACTGTATTTACAGTATAGATACAGTGCCTTAGACTGTGATTTGCATGCAGTAACGTTAAGGGGATTTTGGTTTGACTGTGGTAGTTGTTTTTTGCTTGCATCATTTATTTGTTGGTTTGGGGTTTTTTAAAGAGGAATATTTGTAGAACAAACCAATATGTTTTTTGGTGTGCATGGCTATTGGAAACACATGCAGGAAAGAGCATTGTGAGATGTGGAAGATGTTTTGCTTTAAAGATGCTTAAGGATCAGGCCCTGGCAGGAGAGCTCTGTGAAGAGCTGCTTGCACACTGGGAATGTTGACAAATGAACTCCTTTTAGTTTTCTTAATCCCTCCAGTCTCCCCTCCTTCAGGGACACAGGTGGTTCATCTGCAAGCTCAGTGTGCAGGTAAGAGCATTCAAGCTCCTTTTGATATTGTGTTTTATTTGGTATTTAGTTGCTTGTGTGTACTTTACTGTGGGAATTTTTTTATTCTGTAAAACAAACCCCTCAGGCTTGACATAAAGCCTGAGAAACAAATCTCTTGGCCAGCCTCTGTCATTTTGACCCCTTTTTAGCCTGTGAATCATCTGTCCCTTGGCTCTTCCCTGCGTCTGCCTCTCCAGGCTCTGGCTCTGGTTTGGGCTAGCTTGATTTGTCCTAGTGAAGTTTTAGGTTCTCAGTAGGATTCTGGCAGCAGTTTGGCCAGAATGCTGGGTGGAGGGAAGCTGGGGGTGTCAGCTTACCAGCTACACTCCAGCAAACAGCAAATCTCCCAGAAGCTTTCTGCAGGAGTTAGCTCACAAAGATAGGTTGATTAGACACATGAAGACGTGGACCTTGAGGTATCTGTGCCAGCAGAGAATTCTGAGTGCATGGACTGCTCATGGAACAAGTGGACTTGTTTGGCTCCTGAGGGACATTTAATAACATTTGCTGGCACAGCTTATCTGTCCCAGGTGAAGATTTCTAGCACAGTCTCCTACTTGAGCCATCAAAGTAGTCTTTGGTGGGACTTCTTAGCATAATGCAATTTATTGCTAATCTCTGCCAGTGGGAAATGTCATTGAAATTAAAACTGGTAATTTGCAGAATACCATTAAATTCCTAAAATTAAAAAGTATTTGCTGATCAGCCATAAAAATTCCTCACTATAGAGAATCAGTGCAGAAGATTGTTTGGATTATAACCACAAGTTCATTACTTGGCTATGTAAGGAATGCACTGAAGGAATATTGGCCTACTCACATACTTAAATTCCACCTGCCTCTTCCACTTTACTGCACAAACACATTAACACTTGACATCTAAATACTCCAACCATCTTCAAATTTCTGCAAAATAATTTATTCATCTTATAACACAAAGATCTGGTAGTTGGTGCTCAATGAAATGAGTCCAGATGTGAGACAGCATCTAATTGAGTGGTTCTGTTCTCTTGTGGAAATTAAGATTTTTTGCTTTAAATTGCTCAAATTTTATTCAAGACTGGTGTGACTGTGGTTTTAAATAATCATACTAATAAATTTCTTGTGATGTTTTTAGTAAAAGTCTTTTTTCTAACAGTGTGTTCAAGCATACAGTAAGGAGTTAAATTTGTATGCAAGACAGATTTCTGACTGGGCATGCTTGAGGAAACATTTGGCATGCATTTCGGTTCCAGTTAACACTTGGAATATTCGGGGAGTAAAATCAGTGCAATAAATGAATAGAAGATCTGTTTGTGCACCCCATGATGTAAACTGGGAACACTGGCACTTGTGTCAATGTAGCTGTTGCACATAAGGAGCTAATTTATTATTTTGCAATGAAAACGTGTCAATAGAGACCTGACCTGATGGAAATAATGACTGACTACATTCCTAGAATTATCCTAAGCAGAACTGTTGGCCTTCAGAAGACCTGCAGCTTATAGCAATGCCAGGAGAACTTTGTTTTGTCTGTGGCACATCTGTTGGCACCATTTCCATGTAGGTATCCTCCTTGCTCCTTTACTGAAGCAGCAGCAATCTGCAAGAAACTTATGGATCAGTGTCATCTGCCTAGCTGGTTAAAGTTAACAGGTTTAGTGTTTTTTAAAGACTTACTTCTGAGTGGGTAGCCACCAATTAGTTAAGAGCCATTTCTATAGTCCCTTTTTCGTGGGTTTATGAAAACATGTTACTTCATCACTGTGGCAGATGTCAGATTTAAAAATACCTTAGACATTTATTGCCATAAATATGTAGCTGATTGTTTTAATCAACAGTAGAGAGCTGTAATTTAAGTAGATTTGGGAAATATTAAAAAGGTATACAAAAGGGATTTTTCTGTATTTGGACTGCAATTTTTTACTTTTTGTTTTTTGCTGTTTTATTTTTCTTGCTTATCAGGCTAAGTTATTGTAACAAGTACAGTTAATGTTAATGAAAACCTCTTTGAGCTTTTCATACTGGGCTGTTAACCCTTGGTTTGGACCTGTGGTATTTTCCTTGGCAGCCACTCTTGGGACAGTTGCTGCTGTTTTTTCTCCCTGATCAGTGTTGGATCTCCTTCTCTATTGGTGTGTACTGGTTAGGACTGAATGGGGGTGTGACATTTGTAACTGAGATTGTGGCACTTCACTTAATTCTGCCCTGGCTTTGTGTCTTCTGCTGTTGTACTGAAATTCAGAGGCAGCAATGTGGGGCACCCAACAAAAACATGCTGTTGAGAGATGCTGGTGAGTGCCCTGACATGCAGGGGATATTCTCTTTACTAAGACCCTCAAAGTGTTAATATATAAGTGACTCCTCCAGCACTGGACATTCTATAGAATGTTTTGGGGCTGCTGTACTGTTGAGCTGTATAAAACCCAAACCATCCACCCCTGAAACCACCCACCCACTGAGGCAAGAAACTTGACAGTTTGGCAGGTCAAAAGAGGAACTGTGGTTTATACTGGCAGATTATGTTCCATAAAAGGGGGGGTCCAATTATTACTTTGGTAGTAAAAAAAAAAAAAAATCACCTTCCTTGTTCTTAAGCAATCTCACTGAGTTAATACAACATAGTTAAAACTGTTGAGCTGGTAATTAATGTATCCTGTTCTTGAAACTCTTACGACTGCAGGCACATAAGAACAGCAGAGTTAAAATGATGCTTTAGCCTTATTTGTGCAAGCCTGCCTTCTGTGGCTTACTCAGACTGTAGCAAGGGTAATTTTTTTTTTTTGTGGTTTTAGTTTGAGTGGCTTTCCCTATGTCTGAACTCATTGTATGTTTCCCTGTTATTTTAGGACTTTTCCATGAAACTCGCATGCACATAACACCTTTTTCATATAATACTTACTTTAGTTAAAAATATTAAAAGGAAAATATAAATAAAATACCTTTCTTATATCCTTGGATTGCATTTCATAATCTTGTTGGGTCAGGCTTCCCATGGAAACATCAGTATCATACTCATAGAACTGGAGTGATTCTTGCTGTAGAGGTGGTGCTGCATTTACCAAAGGTACAAACACAAATAAAAAAAAAGTAGCCTGCAAAGTCTCCATTCTTGCCCAGAACGATGTATGTGGTTTTCAGTGAGCTGCTGAAGATCTGCTCGTGCCTGGACTCTGGAGAACACTTTCTTTGGGACTGGAAATGAAAATGCAATCCCTCAAAACAATATTTAAAGCCTGGAGTACTTGTTGGCAGTGGTTTCTAACACATAAGGAACATGGAACAACTTTTAACTCTTGGTATCCTTTAATTAAACTCCAACTTTATAAAACCTGGTCTTAACATGAGAAGAAATTGGGAAATAATAAACATTTTATAACAAATAAGGGAAATATTTTCTTAATTGCATTTTTTTATTTCCCGGTTTATTTTTGTTAAAAGCAAGAAGATTTTGTTCATATTAAGTATTTGGCATATATATAAATTAACTTATTAAAGTATGTGAGGTTCAAATGCATTTTTCTTTATTGTCAAAATAAGAGTGTTCAAATCAAAATGCTCTATAACAAAAGCCTCTCATTGTCTTTTACTTTACATGTGAGACTAAACAAGAGAAGATAACTTAATACCCTCAGAATATTATACAGGTTGGGCACTTTGCAGGCAGGAAAGGGGAAGAGGCTGCAAACATGATCTTTGAGACATTACAAATATGCATGCAATATTTTAAAAAATAAATCTTTGCACAGCATTTCTCTCCTCTTTACTGTAGTTTTATTTAAGCTCTAAATTAATCTACTTTTAGGAAAAAAGTCCACCTACCTTTTTAGCAGATTCCAAGCTCTTCACTGAAAAACCAGATATCCTTATCTATAGTTACTCTTTTGTCAGTGTACTTTAGGTTCAAGTTATGCATTACATCCAGATTGTTGAACTGAGTACTCTCTCAAAGTTTGAGTCTGAAAAGTGCTTTCCATGGGGTAAAAACGCTTTGCCAGCATTCTGTCCCAGGGTGAGAGGTAATATCCTGGAGCAGGGGGTTGTACTTTGCATAACATTAGCAAATGCTAAGCCCGTGGAGCTCATCCTACTTTTGGTAATCCTTGTTGAAATGGCAGCTCTCTACTTTGCTCTTTATATGTGCTAAGGCTTTTCCTGTAAATGAAATATTAATTGGGCAAACTGGAGGTCTCTAATAAGGCATGTGTTATCCATTTTGTGAAATGCTTCAGCCTAGAGACAAAGCAGCTGCTTTCTGAGACAGAGGTAGAGCCAAAACACACGTCTGTTGTATTAGTCACATTTTGTGAATAGCAAAATGTTTTATTATAAGTTGTATATGTTTAGAGAAGTTTCATGTATCTCTGAAATGGAAACTTTTCCGTCTCAAGAGTTCTGGAAAAACATTCTTTGGAATTTCTTGTGTTTGTGTTGAGATTTTTAGACAATCGGTGTCTAAATCCGTCATTAATTGACTTATTAGATAGTTCATTGAAAAATGGGTTTCACAAAAAATACTTGCTTTGAATAAAGTTCTGTTTCAGTTTTACAGATAACTCAGTGAACACTGTCCAGGTGTAGAATTTCCATCTGAACTACGAGCAGCAGTTTTCTGGATTTGTAATGCATTTCTTCCTCCCCCATCCTTTTCCTCATGAATTTTTGGCAGTCAGCACAAATGGGAGACAGATGACCAACTTTGAACGTTTATAGAGTAGCTTTCTCAAGTCTTTAAAAAGTATGTAGCAATAAAATCTAGTGGGAATATATCCAAATTTACATTTCTCTTTTATTGTCATACCTTTTTCTTTTTTTTTTCCCTAGTGTAATACTGGTGATAAACTGTGGACCTTTTGGTTAAGTTTTCCTTTAAATGCTGCCTTGTTTAGCAGCCAAATATCTGTAGGAAATCTGCAGAGTGACTGCAGCCAGTTGCTGTCTAAAATCTTTTTGGGTTTACAATACCACCGGTTTCTGAACTCATTTGGATTTTATAAAAATGTCTGTGGCTTAGTTCATATGCAGATTTAACAATGGGATAGTTTGGACTTGAAGCTTGCTCTGGGATAATGCTGTGATGATAAAATGAGATGTGAAGGGAAGAGGCTCAGTAATAATGGAAATTGGGCCCTGAATCCCACTGGATGCTGCTCTGCTGGAACAATGACAGCAGGAGTTTGGAAGTGGTGGAATTGCAGTGTCAGTACCAGCTTAGCATCCCTCCTGCCTGTCTGGGAAATAATGACACAGCTCTGCTGTGTACTCACCCTTTCCTGCTGCCACCCATCTGCCAAACATCCACGTTAGGATTTCCTCTGGCTCTGGGGCATCCAAATGTTTCCAGTGCTTTAATGTAATCAAAGGATAACTATTCTAAGGGAAAAAAACTACTAAGTATTGAAGCTGAAAGCAAAACATAAAATATTAAATATATTTGTCATAGTTTAATGATAATTTATTTTCTAAGTACTGAAATCCTAGATTTCACAGCTACATAGAATGTTTTAGGAATAGCTTTATCTTTTCCTTGCATATGACAACTTGAAAAAATGAGGGAAAACTGCTAGATAAACGTGGCCTTGAAAATGTAGCAAGTCTTCATTCAAGGAAACAAGTTTGTTTTCAACTGCAAGAGGAGAAGAGGCTCTGAATTTTTAGACAACTTCAGGACCAGCTTCTGCACAAAACATGAAAAGTCTGTGTTCATCAAGATCAGAAGATTTCAGGTGTGTGCTTATCACAAAAAGGTTGTCATGTGTGTACTCTGCAATAGAGGCACCTCTCAGAAGCTCATCAATACTTCCTTACAAATACATTCCAAGAGGGAGATGTTAAGTAGTTCATTTGGTGTGATGTCATCAAGGAGTAGCTCACAGTGCCAAATAAAGTTGTAACTTTGTCCCATAGTTTGTCAGCATTGCCATGAAAGAAAATACATCAGCAAATAATGTCAGTTTTTATCTGAACATGTAGCAGATGCTCAGATCAGCACAAGGATGGGGGTGGTATGAGTGACTGCAAACCTTCAACTGCTTTTTTCCTGCTCAGAATGAATAGAAATAACCAAAATATCCAAATCATGTGAGATGAAATATGTGGTTCATATGCACTGGCAGTAGGGGAGCTCACAGGAAACACCCTGGCAAGCAGGGAGTGCTTTCTAGGCACTGTTAGTGCTTGGAAATTGGATGTATAAGTGTCTCTTGCTTGGACTCTGGTTACAAGGATCCATGTACTTGGAAGGAGGTTTTTTTTCTGGAAACCTAAGCCTGCTGTGTTGTTAACTCATTGAGCTCCAGTTTTTGATAAATGTGTCCATGATGTGTTTTTTGATTTCCCTATGATGTCTCATTTGCACTGACTGATTTCCCCACAAAATACTTTCAGCTGTACTGACTGTTAGTAATTTTAAAAGGTTATTTTTCCTAATTTTGTTGACATGGAATCATGATTTAAATTTGAACAGTAGTAATTTCCCTGTCATTTTGTAAGGTTATAAAGCGTAGCTGAAGGTGTAAATGAACCACAAGACTTCTTGTAGTGGATAGAACCCAAGCCAGATTAATGGGATTGCATTCTGGTCTCTGGATTCTGTTGTCAGGAAAACTTAGCTTTAGGTGAAAAGGCTTGCATACAGAATAGGTGTAAAATTTGTTCCCCAAGGTTTTCTTCTGTCATGTTAGACAACAAAGACTAGGAGAAGAAAAAGTGAGAAGCTGGATGGGTGTGGATGGCAGAGGTAGGAAATGCATAGGAGAGCAATACAGAAATGAGGGTAACTATCCAAACTATCCATGTTGCTGACTAAATCTTCAGCATCTGGGAAATAATCTAGTATTTAGTTTATATGTCAGTACAGAGGGGGGTAGACTTTGTGCAAGACAGGTTGGAAATGACTTCTCCAAGGTGTCTGGAGGAATTACACGGGGGCAGGGGCTGGCACTGCCTATGTAAGGATTTGTGGTTGTGCAATAGGAGGCAGAACACTGGAAAAAGAACAATGGGGAGGAAAAACCACAGGGCTTTACCTCTGGGGTGCTGAGGCAGCTCTAGGGAGAGTCCCATGAAGTTCCTATCAAGATATTCCTTATGAAATAAACCAAAGCTGATATTCTTTTTAATAACTTGTGTTTGCTCTATGTTTAGACAGAGGAAGTGCACTTTGCAGCTGCCTAAAGACCTTGGCTTTCATTTTGTGTCACAGTCTCTAAAGGATGATATTGGCAACTTCTGCCATTTCTGAGTTTTACTGTTTATAAGTGTTCTTGAAAAAAAAAGTACTATGGATTATTGCTCAGCTGCCCTGTGCTTGTGTGGGTGCTGGGAATCCTTTGAGAATGCTCAGTGTCTTCTCTTGGCCAGATATCTGTGTAGGACAGAATGAGATGAGGGCAAATTAGGAAAGCTTTTAAAGATTTTTGGGTGTTTATAGACTTGGGCACAAGGCTGGATTTTCTTCTGTGTGTGATATTTCTGCTTCTTGTGGAAGGTAACATGTTGGAGGCTCCTTGGCATAACTTGTGTGGAGTGTGATTTAAACACCTCACAATGTTGACCAGCTGTTCTGGATTGGAGTAATTATAATAGAAAAGGCAGTTATTGCAGCAGCCTGATAACATGTACATAATCTGCAAACAGTGAGAGATTGGCTGTTAAAAGGGGTAAAAGCATTAAGTGATGTAAGAACTGAACTCAATGCTTCTATTTTTATTTTCTCCTTTTGTAACCTAAATGAAATAACTTTTTAGAATGGTTCTCTACACAGTTTTATTTTCTAAAACACAAGCCTTTTCTTTTGATATTTATGTGGGATTAATTCTAGTTTCTAAAACGACCTTTATCTCTTTGCTGCTGCATAAATGTATGATATGAAACTTCTCAGACTCCTTCATTCCCTTCTGCTTTTTGTTAAGGTCCTGATAGAGAGTGTAAAAATAGTTTTTAAGCTAGTTTAATGCCAGTAATGGTGATGGAGTTGTACTTATTTGGGGAACTAAAAGTATTCCAGAGGGAGGAGGGAGCAATCTCCTGGTTTCTTTGCTGGTTTGAGAACTGAAGGTGGTGCTATAGAAGAGTTGTGTAAAGCAAAGGCAATTCCAACTCAGCACCCTTGAGGGATGGAGGAGGGTTCAGAGGCAGTGTTAAATGTGAAATAAATGTCATCATGTCCTAGACAGAAAACAGAACATTCTTCAAGATTCAGAATCACTAAAGAAGTACCTGAAATGAAATAGTTATGCATAAACACCTCCAGATTTTTATGAAAATTACAACTATTTCCAGTGAATTAAATCAGTTTAGGTCACTGTTAGGGCCACCAGCTGCAAAATGAAGACAGCTGAAAAATGACCTAGTGATTGTATGAACATCCTTGCATATGTTTCTGATTTATAATCAGAATTTTTTAAGGCTGAAGACATTACCTTTATTTCTTGCATTTCTGGAAAAGAAAAAACTTTTATCAGTTACTGTGTTATAAATGAATAAAGCACATTGCAAAAATCATGTATAACATTAAACAGAAATCAAACTGCGGTTAACAAATAGAAATGATAAGCAGAGTAACAGTGCTGTCTATTTACCCAGACCTCTCTGTTGAACACATGTTCTCCTGAGCTTTGCTGTGTGACATCAGTTACATCCTGAAACAAAAGCCAACCTACTGCAATTTATTACAATTTCTTAGAATTCCTTCCAGAATTGGCATTACTTCCTTATGACAATACCATCATTTGTTGAGAGCTGTTACTATGTCCACAGGGACATTTGAGTCAGGGCTCCAAGAATCATTGGCCTTATCCATATTTTCCTTCAGTGTTCCAGGCATCTGTTCCTTGTGTTGTTCATAGCATCTGCTTTACTGTGTTCATGGCTCATCCTCACATTTATCTCTTGTCCTTGTGTTGTACTTGTAGAATATGGG